ATATCCCAGAAGATTCCTTTCATACCTGATCACTGAAGTGTGAGAGATGGATGGAGGGAACAAGGGTCACTGCTTAACAGGATTTCCCCCCCTTTGTTCAACTTCTCCAGTAAAGGAATCTAAGGTTCTTGAGCACACTCACTGCCTTATGACCAAACGAAGACATTTCTCCAACCTGAAAGTCTTCATCTGTATGATGGAGACAATAACATTTATCTCAGGGGCTGTCAACAGGATTAAATAAATGTGTGATACAAAGACTATCAGATTCCAGGCAGGCCACACATCCATCATCATGTCTCAGCGACCCCCACCCAAAAAAGGAGGCTTCTTTTCCAATCTTCCCTTTCAAGAAGTCCCTGAAGAGAGTCTGACTGGATAGGCTGGGGTCATACGCTCACCCCTGACTCAATAACAGGAGTCTGGAAAATACAAAATGCTGATTGGCTGGTAGCAGCAGTCAGTTCTGATGCCCGGAAGGAAAGGCTGCTAGGTTGGAAATTCCTCAGACTCACTAGGTTCCTTTCATCTCTGGGCCTTTGCACGTGCAGCTCCCTCTTCAAAGAAAACTTTTCGCTCTGCTSTGCTGGGTCACCACATTCTCTCCTTCAGGATTCTACCAAATTTTTGCCTCCTTCCAACGGCATCTCACATTCTCTGGGTAGGGCTCTCGCCACCACAGATCCACAGATCCTGTTCATCTGCTGGTTGCCTGGTAGAAGGTGGGTCTGGGCTCCCACCGTAAGGCCCAGGCCGGTGCTCTAATGTGCTTAATGCTCCGCGAAACGCGCTCGGGAAACGTCCCCTGGGTATAGGATCCCCGCACAATCACGCACGCGCTTACTTACCTTCTGACCCCTTTTCTGGTCACAAACTGGGGTAAGTGCGGAACTGTCCCTATTTACAAACCTACTCAGACAGGGGCGGACAGTCTTTCCCACTTGCACACACGGATTCGCCCCACCCACGGATTACTGGATTCAGGCGCACCGACGCCCTCGCATCCCCCGGGCAGACGCAGGCCCCTTTCCCGGCYACAGAGCCGCGCACAAAACCGGTCAGCCAGCCTGACAACCCTGTAGACCAAGGGCCACGCTGCGCGCACGCGCGGCCCTGAGTCCCCGCCCTCCCGGCCTCGCCCGTCGGGGGCGGGGCGCCGCTGGGGGCGGGTCCTGCGGCACCGCCCGGGAAGCTGCGCGAGGTTCGGCGGCTGCCACCACATCCTCCTCCTTTGGGTCCAGGCAAAGGGAGCCTGGTCAGGGCCAAGCGAAGGGCTCCGACGGCGCGGGCTAGCGGAACGCCGAGCCATGACGCACCAGACGGGCATCCACGGTGAGGGCGGTTGGTGGAAGGGCAGAGGTTCCCAGAGGCTCTGCTCTGGGCTGCGCCCCCTTTCCGGCTGTCGGTCCCTTCCTCCCCCTAGCATCAGCAGGGGGAAGCTTCCTGTTCTGCTTTGTAGCCGCCAGTCGCTTGGGATGGGCACATCTGGGGGAGTACAGACTTGCTGTGCATAGCTGAGAGTGGGTACACATGCACCCACACAGCTGGGATGGAAATACCTACGTACCCCTTGGGGGTAGATGTTCCTGTGTGTGCGGGTCTGTGTATTTTTGTTCCTTTCTTGGGGTGGGTGTACCCGGATGTGCACATCTGGCGGAGTATACACGCATGTGCACATGTCCTCTGTATACAGTTCCATGCGTACCCATCTGGATGTGACTTGCTTGTACACATCTAAGATCATTCATGTACATGCCCTAGTGGCTGTTTGGACACTGTAGGTAGCATGGGACCATCTTAGACATCACTGTTTCTTGACAGTGTGCACATGTGTGTGGGTGTCTGTGTGTGTGTGCACAATTGGTACACATCTCGGTGTGCATTTGTTACCATGGTTGCATGCAGTGGATGTGTCTCATGACTTGTATGGGTTTGTGAATGTGTGTGAGGAAGGGGTCCTGACCTTTACTCCTCTCAGGATCCTCACACTCTTTGCAGGCTAAGCTGGGGAAAACCTTTGATAGGGCCCTCTAAGTGGCCTGGGGAGAGTTGTCAGTCTGACCTTGACCTCTGACCTCCCTCCCATTTTCCTGTTGATCTCTTTAGTCTGCCCCAGCCAGGGTTGGAAAGTCCCAGCTCCAAGCTGGAGGGAGAGAAGAAGGTCCAGATGGGTAGATTTGTAGGAGGTCCTGGCCCTAGAGAAACCAGGCCAGCTCCCATCCCCATCTTCATGGCCAGGAAGCATCTATGGCCTAGAGTATCACACATAGAACCCCTCCCACAGGGACCCAGTTTCCTCCTTGGACAGGCTGGGAGAGAAGTAATGGCTGGGAGCCAAATACCCTGACCCTCCAGGCCTCAGTGTCCCATCTGCCACTGGCCTGGGAGGGCTGCCTGGCCTGTAGTGAGGGCTCAGGCTGCTTGCCTAGACAGCTTGGTGGTTTTGGCCATCTGCCACTCCTGCCACCACACCATGATCCCCTGCCCAGGGCTACCACCATGAAACTGCCTGAGTCCTGGCTTGTGGCTTGTGGTTGTGGCCACTTGGTGGCTGAACTGCCCAGAAAGGGTTTCCCTGGCCCTACTCCCATTTTCTCCCCACTGCACCCCCCTGCCCCGTAGGACCCAAGAATACAAGGGCCTGAGTCAGGGCCAGCCTCCTGACAGGTGGACCAGCCTATCTCCAGGAGGAGCTGGAGGGGTGGCATCATGAGTCAGCCCCACAGAGGGATCTACTGCCTGGCCTGCCCCTTCCTTCCCCTTTGCCTGGTCATAGCTGCAGCAACCCTCATGTCCCCTGTTGACAGCTCCTGTGGCCAGGGATCTGCCTCATTCCTTCACTTCCTGTACAGTGACACAGGGATGCTTAGGGGATATTGGGGACTGTGCTGCCCCCAGCCCTCCTTCTACCTGTGAATAGCCCTCCTTCCCATTTTAGGCATGGAGAGGTAGCAGGAGAGAATACCCTGGAGTACCTGCCYGGTCATGGGCCATAGCTGTAGGTATGCTGACCTCAGATCCTGGCAAGTAGAGGGACTGTAACCTGAGGCTCATTGGAGTTGGGAGGGTGGGCAAGGGGCRGGGGGTCATGAATCTTTGATGAGAAAGGTTCAGATATCCCAGGCCTGGCTTCTGGATTATTGATGGCAGCTGGGGAGGGATTGGGGTGGGGTAGGAAAGGATGTCTTCCCGTGCTAGGGTGTCAGTTTGCCCTAGTAACACTAGAAGGGGCTTGTCAACCTCTCTGAAGAGGAGCTTCTTGGTCACCCTCCCAAGGTCTGAGCAGGTAGAAGGAGCAGCTATCTTACAGTAATAAAATTTTTTTTGGGGGGGGTTGTTTGTTTTTTAAGCACCAGGGGCACTTAACCACTGACCCATATCCCCAGCTTTTATTAATTGATTGATTGATTGATTAATATTTTGAGACAAAATCCTTTTAAATTGCTTAGGGCCTTGCTAAGTTGCTGAGACTGGCATTGAACTTGCAATCCTCCTACCCCAGCCTCTGGAGCCACTGGGTAAAAGTTGTTATTAAAAGAGGCCCCATTCCTGAGCACTTCATCCCATTTACTCCTCATTATAGTCTCCGGAGCTTGGGGGTATTATCTCCCTTTTACAGATGAGGTTGAGTTTCAGAGAAGTCAGAGGTCACACAGCTAAGGAAGAATGGAGCCCTAACACTAGGCTTGAAGTTTCAGGAAACTACTGTTTGCTGCTGTTGCGAAGTCCTGTCCTGACCCAAAGAGGCTGTACCCTCTTGCATGCAGTTCAACGCCACGAGGCTGTGAGCCCCAGAGCCTGCTGGGCTCAGTTGAGCTTCTGCTTACCCCATGACACAAGGTCGCTGGGGAAGATGGGGGCACCTGAGGCCATGACCAGTTTGTTTTCTTAAAGCCCCCCCCCCTCCCGCTGCCCCTGAGCTGCCCAATCCAGGCCCTATAAATATTCTCTTACCTCAACCCTCCAGCTGTGTTCCTGTGGGAATTCTTCTGACCCCTGGGCAGCCTCAAGGTCGTGCTGGCTTAGCCCTGCTCACTCAGATACCCAAGCAGAGCCCTTCCCCACTTGGACCATAGTGTTCCCATTTGCTACTACTAGTGGTTCTGAGATTACCCATGGTTCCCTAGCTCTGACCATGATCCATACCTCTGCACTTGGTTCCTTCCTTGGTCACTGGCTGTCACCTTCTAGCTCTGCAGCCTAAGATCCAAAATGGAATTACTTTCCTGGGAGCCACTCCTCCTCCAGGAAGCCTTCCCTACTGTCTCAGAGGAGAGCTTGTTGTCCCTGGTGGAGYTGTGCCAGGCAGGGAATGGGTTCTCAGGGCCTCCTCAGCATGAGGCAGCCTGGCTGGGGGGCTGGAGCTGCATGTGCATGCATCTGTGAAAAGATGTCTCTGTGTTTCTGTGTGTGCTTTGTAATCCTCYTGCCTGCACACTGTCTTAGCCAAAYTCTGAAGGTGCCTGCCTACGTGTGTGTTAGAAAGCTAGGAATTATATCTGAGTGCATGTTCTCATGTCTAAATATGTATATCCATTTATGTTTGACCAGTTGAGCTTGTGTTCACATACAATGGTATTTGCAGTTATGTCCCTCTCTGCATTATATGTGTCTTTTATATTCACATATGCTTGATTTAGTGAGTCGGCACATGTGATGTTTGTGTGTGTGTGTGTGTGTGTGTATGTGAATGGACATAACGGTGGCATTTGTCTGTGTATTCTTTGTGGATTCCACAGTGCTGAGTGTGTTTCAGGTCATCCCACTGCTGGGCCTTCATGGGAGCAGAAGACAGGTGGGGTCATTAATTCTGGCTGGACTAGCTTGCCTAGAATCTGCCCCATCTTCGGGTGGGCTGTCCCGCCCCTGCTTGCCCCTCCCCATCACCAGAGCAATCCCAGCCAGCAGGCCACCCGCCTGCCACTTCTGCTGGCTAAATTTGGGAGCTTGTGTTCAGTGGCCATCTCAGGTTCCCAGTCACATGGCGGGGCCGTATTTAACCTGGTTCCCAACTCAGCCACCAGATTCCGCAGGACAGAGCAGGCCCCAAACTTGTCCCTCTCCACTCTGCCTACTCATCCCCCACTATGTTTCTTGTTCTTGTAGCCACTGAGGAATTAAAGGAATTCTTTGCCAAGGCGCGGGCTGGCTCCATTCGGCTCATCAAAGTTGTCATTGAGGACGGTGAGTGCCCCCCATGAGCTAGGGCATATGTTGGAGGCTGGACCTAATTGCTTCTGGAGGGCATATTGGCCTCTGAGCCCCTCTGGATCTCAGTTTCCCTGTCTGGAAGTGGGGATAAGGCCACTCACAAAAAGAAGCCTCAGAGAGGAGCACAAGGTGGGCATGGTTATCACCCCTATTATGCTAGCCCCTATCCTGGAGTCCTCTGTGGTCTCCCCAGAGGCTGTGTGGGTATTGAGATGGGCCTAGTCCAGATGCTGGGCTGAGCAGGCAGGGGTCAGGGGATGAGAGAGTCCAAGTGCTGCTGCATATGGCTAGTGCTACYCACTTCCATCTGTTTGTGGTCGGCAGGCCTGTTCTGGGTTGGCTGTTGCCGAGGAGAGACCTAAGAGATGCCGAGGCTCTTCCTTTGGGAAGAATCCTCAAAATGGGGAGAAGGGACTTGGGTACAGCCCATTCTGAGGGCAGGAGGGGGGGATATTCCATGCTTGGCAAGGCCTCAACGTGGACCCGGAACTAAATTGGGGTGTTGGAAGTAAGGGACTCCTCTCTTCTTCTCTCTGTGCCAAGGGACTGTCCCATTCTGTAAGGGGAACAGACTGGGTATGGGCTGGATCTCTAGGGGTCCTTGCAGACYTTCTCAGTAGTCTGTTCTACTGCCTTTTAGGGGCTTCCCAAACAGGTTTGTTGCTCCGCTCACTTTAGTAGGCACTGTCCAGACCCAGAGTTGACCCCAGGCTTTAGGGCCATGACCATGACTGTGCTGGGCTTTGTTCAGAGTCCCCAGATTTCCTCAGAGACTGGATAGGAGTCATGAGGTAGCTCAYGAGTGAAGGACTGGGCAGTAGGCCACAGCCTCCCACCCTTAAAGAGGTAGCTGTACTCATTGGCCGCAGTCCTCAGACACAACTTAAGATCTTAAGCAGRAAGAATCTCTAGGTGGGCTCTCCAGGTTTTTTGGGTTTTTTGTTTGTTTGGGTTTTSGTACTGGGGAGTGAATCCAGGGGTGCTTAACCACTGAGCCACATCCCTAGCCCTTTTTTGTATTTTATTTAGAGATAGGGTCTCACTGAGTTACTTAGGGCCTCGCTAAATTGCTGAGGTTGGCTTTGAACTCTTAATCCTCCTGCCTCAGCCTCCTGAGCCGCTGGGATTATAGGCATGCGCCACCATGCCCAGCTTATTCCAGTTTTGTATTACAGTTTTAGGAGTACCTGGGAGTGCCCAGAAGTGTCCACACTCCAACTGAGGTGGCTGGAGCTCCTGATTTTTCTAGAGAAGGTCTGACTTTTACTTTTTATGTGAGATTCTTGGTTGGAAAACATGAACAGCAATGTTGACAATGCTTCTGCAACCCATTCAGCCTGTGACTGCTAGCTGTCAACCCTGATCCCATACGAGTTCTGTGTGGGCAGGTGAGGAAGCTGGCATGTTGGAGTTTCCAGGCAGATGGATCCCTTATCCCACTAGGAGGAYGTTGTGGTGGGGTGCCAGACCCCTGGTCAAGCTTAGATTGCCCCTTTGCCCCAGTTCTTCCTCCATCCTACAGCTGTGTGTTCCGGGAGGGTATTTGTGAGATACCAGCCCACAGGGTAGCCTGATGCCCCCTTCAGCCACTCTGCACCAGCCAGGGAGGTGACAGGCCTGATGAGCCCAKGCATGAAGAACTTGACTGCTGTTGGGTTTGTGACTTGGAGGAGAGGGAACTACAGCTGGGGGTGGTGGCAGAATACCTGTTTACAGAGTCTGGCATGAGTCGTGCCTTCTTCCTCTCCATAATTTTTTTTTTAATATTTTGGTTTTAGTTGTAGTTGGATACAATACCTTCCTTCCTTCCTTCCTTCCTTCCTTCCTTCCTTCCTTCCTTCCTTCCTTCCTTTATTTATTTTGTTTGTTTGTTTTTATGTGGTGCTGGGGATCAAACCCAGCAACTCACACAAGCTAGGTAAGCGCTCTACCGCTGAGCCACAACCCCAGCCTCTCTCCAGATGTTTTTGTCCCTGCAGATCTTTATGGCCTGGAACTGTGACATCACCTCTTCCAGCACATTTGTCCCAGGAGGGGTGTGCCAAGTTTYTGTTGTAACCCTGGGCTTAGGGAGGAGGGAGCAGGAGGTGCATGGAGGGGTTCCTACACTGAGCAGCGTGCCTTGCCTGTAGTGTGGGGTCAGAGTGATTGTTGTGGGTGTTGAGAAGGAGCCGTGTGATTGCTAGTTGTGGACACATGGCTGTGTTTTCATGTGGTTTGTGTTGGGTGATTTGTAGGGGATTGGAGGGTAGAGAGAGCAGCCTCTGGGTAGTAGCTTTTGTCCTTGTTCGTTCACTCACTGATCAGGTAACATCATTTCATACTTTGAAGATTTGGGGGCTCTAAGAAAAGTGGGGTGGAGTAGCCAGCAGGTCTGAGCTAGCTCAGAAAGCCACCTCCAGAGGATATTCCACAGGCAGAGGTGAGGTGGGAGATGGCTAGCTACTCCGGCTCACCCGGCCTCTGCCCCCAGAGCAGCTCGTGCTGGGTGCCTCTCAAGAGCCAGTGGGTCGCTGGGACCAGGACTACGACAGGGCTGTGCTTCCACTGCTGGATTCCCAGCAGCCCTGCTACCTGCTCTTCCGCCTCGACTCACAGAATGCTCAGGGATTCGAATGGCTCTTTCTTGCCTGGTCACCTGATAATTCTCCGGTGAGTCCCAGGGACCCCTGTTTAGCCCCAGGCTCAGGGCCAATGGGGGAATGGGGAGGGCAGCTGAGACTGAGCAGGATAATGAAGCCCTGTCCCAGGGATCCTAGGGAATGCATGTCAGGTCCTGTCCCAGAGATTGACAGGACAGGGCCCTGTGCTTGAACCCTGGAGACTCAGAGGCCTGTGAGTGGCATCAGCTTGACCCCTGGAGGCTGAGGTTGAGCTAGGCCAGAGCTCCCTCTGCTGGCAGGAACCACCATTGCACCCTCACCTTCGTGCTGTGCCCCCTGCTGGATGTGCTCGCTGGATGAGTTGAAAAGGTCCCCTTCTAGAGCCTCCTGCCTGCTCCTGGAGAGGCAGACCTGCCCACAGGGATCTCACAGTTTGGCCTCCACCCTTCAGGTGCGGCTGAAGATGCTCTACGCAGCGACACGGGCCACAGTGAAGAAGGAGTTTGGGGGTGGCCACATCAAGGATGAACTCTTTGGAACAGTGAAGGTAGCCACCCAGGCCAGAATGATGGGGGCTGGGCCTGTGAAGGGCTGCAGGGAAGCCCAGTGCCAGGCTTGGGATGAAATGGGAAGGCCGGGAGTCCAGGAGCTGTAAGCTGAGATGCTCAGCAGGGCTTCCTCCAGCCTGCCTGAGGTGCCCACTTATGCCTCCTAGGATGACCTCTCCTTTGCTGGGTACCAGAAACACCTATCATCCTGTGCTGCACCTGCTCCACTGACCTCAGCTGAGAGAGAGCTCCAGCAGATCCGTATCAACGAGGTGGGTGTGCTGGGTCACATGTGMCTGGAGCCTGTGCTGTTTGGTGGGCTGGGCTGTTCCCCAGGCTGGACAGGTGGGGGTCTCCTTCACTATTGCCCTGCCCCCCAGGTGAAGACAGAGATCAGTGTGGAAAGCAAGCACCAGACTCTGCAGGGCCTCGCCTTCCCCCTGCAGCCTGAGGCCCAGCGGGCACTTCAGCATCTCAAGCAGAAGATGATCAACTACATCCAGCTGGTGGGTGCATGGTCCTGCCCTGGTACATGCTTGGGGCAGTGTGGCCCACCCCTACTCCTGCTCATACACATATGGGCATAGAACCCCTGCCCCCACCAGCCCAGGAGTGCCTGAGCTGTTCCACATGCTTGTGGGAACACACTGTCCTCCTTGTCCCTCCCTGTTTCCTGCATTAGAAATAGCCACCAGGTACACATAGTTACACTCTTTTTCTTCTGTCCTCTGCCTTCCCACATGGGTGCTGCTGTGAGCTCACTGCTCCCTTTCATCCTCCGCATATGCCCACTCCTGGGTTCACACTGACCCCTAAGCCCCTTCCTGTCCCAGGCTCCTTCTGCAGCTCTCTTGACCACTTGTTTTTCCCAGACAGGGTCATTCTGACCCATTGATTAAGGTGCCCCTTCCAAAATGCTTCCCTCAAGAGGCTCTGCCTCTGAGGACAGGCTGGCCTGATGTTGGTGAGCCCATCCACACCACCCCATTCACTGCTGTTCGGGGGAGTRCCTTCTTTAGCAACTTTCAAAGGGCACCATTGGGTTTGGGCCCAGGAGTGCCTCTTTGGGATGACCCCCACAGAGGTACAGCTATGAGGAAGAGATCATGAGCAGGTGCCTGCCTGCCAGCAGGGTTCCTCTTGGGTAGCTGGTGCCCTCATGTGTCCCCTGACCCTCCACAGAAGCTGGACCTGGAACGGGAGACCATCGAGCTGGTACACACAGAGCCCACAGATGTGGCCCAGCTACCCTCACGAGTGCCCCGAGATGCTGCCCGCTACCACTTCTTCCTCTATAAGCATACCCATGAGGGGGACCACCTTGAGTCTGTGGGTGAGTGGTTACTGCAGAGGCCCTGCTATGTGCTGGGTAGGGTAGCACCAGCCTGCTGCTGGGTGGACCTGCTGTGGGGGTGGAGGTCTGCAGGTTGCTCGGCCTGCATGGAATCACCTCCCTGTCCTTCTCCAGTGTTCATCTACTCCATGCCGGGGTATAAGTGCAGCATCAAAGAGCGCATGCTGTACTCCAGCTGCAAAAGCCGCCTCCTTGACTCTGTCGAGCAGGACTTCCAGCTGGAGATCGCCAAGAAGGTGCGTGACTATCTCCAGGGACCTGTCACCCCACCTTCCACATGGGCATTAGAGTCTTGAGTCAGTAGCATGGCAGGACTTGTCACTACCGTGGATGGATGGGAACCTGAGGCTCAGGGCAGCCTGCACTGCCCAAGGCTGCCCAGATGACGGATAGCACAGACAAACCCAAGCCCTGGCCACCAGGACAACTTTCCCTGGTTCTGGGGGGAGAGAGAAAGGGGGTGACCCAGGTAAGCAGAGTAGCAGGCTCCAGGGTCTGAGTTCCAGTGGGTGGCATTCCCAGTGGGAATCTACAAGGAGACCCCAGGCCTGAGRCAAGAGATCAAAAGGATGCCCAGGAGTGGAAGTCACCAAGGGTGATGTGTGTCAGAGTCATTGGACTGACTGTGGCCTTGCCCTACACAGATTGAGATTGGCGACGGGGCAGAGCTGACAGCTGAGTTCCTCTATGACGAGGTGCACCCCAAGCAACATGCCTTCAAGCAGGCATTCGCCAAGCCCAAGGGCCCTGGGGGCAAGCGAGGCCACAAGCGACTCATCAGGGGCCCTGGCGAGAATGGGGACGACAGCTAGGTGGCTGGACCAGAGCCAGGCCAGCGAGTGAGCTGTGGGGCTGCCTACCTCACCACTCCCTGCATCTCCCTCTTTCTCACTCTGGCTCCAGGGAAGTGCTTCCTGTGGGTCAGACAGGCTGGTGGCTGAACACACTTACAAGCTTCTGAGGGTCACTGGGTTGGCATTTTGTGACCCTTCCCCATTGCTGACCCTGTCTCTCATCTGTGTGCCCAGGGCGTCTGGGGGCCCTGCCTGGCTGGCTCAAGGGGGCTGGGCGAAGGATCTGTCATGAACCTGGCCTCCAGGGGATCTGAGACTGGGGTCCCAGCACAGCCCAGAAGCCTTTGACCACAGTGGGTAGGGTTGGTTGGGGCTGGAGCAGGGGTCACTGCAGGATGGGATGGTTGAATGCTGTATTTTCTAAAGAATAAAATATTTTTAAATCAATATGTATGTCTGGTTCTAAGGGAATGCTGCTAGCCCTTGGAATTGGGTAGCCCTGTGCAAATAGCTAACTGCCCTCTCACAGGTCAGGAGAGAACGGTTGGTCTGCTACATGGAGCCTCAGTGTTCCTGGCCACAAGGGTGTGGGAGAGGCTGTGTGTATGAGGGCACAAGTCCTGAGGTTGATGGGATCCCCACCTGAGAGGCAGGCACATCTCCACCACGATAGGGGGATTTTCTAGATGTCTTTGTCTCCCGTAGTTGCTATAACAAATCACCACAAACTTGGTGGTTTTTCTGCCCCTAAGGGAGGTAGGATGGCTACCGGAGATGGGAGGCTGGCTCCCTGGTCCTAACCAGATGTTTTCATCAGCTTTTGTGTTGCTGTGACAAAATACCCAATAAGAACAACTTCACAGAGGAAGTGTTTATTTTGACTCACGGTTTCAGAGGTCTTGGTTCACAGATGACTGACTTCGTTGCTCCGGGTCGACGATGAAGCAGAACATCATGGGGGAAGGACCTTACAGAGGACAGTTGTTCAGCTCACAGCTCAGTTGGGTTGGGAAGCAGAGAGAAGAAAAGGGAAGTGGCCGCAAGGAAGATGCACTCTTCCAGGTGCAACCTAGTGACTGCCTCCTCTAGCCATGCCCCATCTACCTTTAGTTACCACCCAGTCAGCCTCATTCAAACCAGGATGGGCTCATTAGGTTACAGTGCTCATGATCTAATCACTCCACCTCTGAATAGTCCTGAATTAACACAGGAGCTTTTGGAAGATACCTCATGTCCAAGCCATAACCCAGGGATTGTAAAGTCTCTCCTGGACTTGGAGTTCAGCAGGAGCCAGGCCTTTAGCTTGTGTCTCTGAGACATGGATGGAGGCTCCTGTCACAGGTGGGACAGGGCTAGAGATGTGGCATTGCTGACTGTGATTCACCTTTTCCTGACTCAGGGCTGTTTCCCATCCCTGGGGCCTCTTCCCAGCCCCTGCTAAAGCCCCTAGGATCATCTAGGGGACCATATCTAGCTGGGAACATAGCAAGGATCTAGAAGAGGTTTGTTCAGGCCCGTCCCAAACACTGGTGAAGAGAAAGACAGTGCTAACACCCTTAAGCTGCTGAGTCAGCTGGATGACTGGACCTTGGGCCCCACACGCCATGACACCTCCCCAAAGGTGGTTCTGGGAGGAGTGGGAAAGCAGATGTGTAGCCTTGCCTTCCCCAGGAGTACACCCCATTTGTTTATTCATTCATTCAGAGATATCCTGTCTGTGCCTGCCCAAAGCTGAGTGCAGGGGATCTATCGCTTCAGTAGACATTGAGCGTTTACTGTGTACGGGCATTCAACTGTGCTGGGGATACAAAAGATCTTTCACTCAAGAAGTGGACATTCCAGCAGGGGAATCAGACAATATCCACTAAACGGCTGAAAGTCAACAGTAGGGTGTCTCAACAGTTGAAAACACATTAAGCAAAGAGGAAAATCAGGCAGAGGAGCTCAGGAGAGTCAGATCAGGACTGGAAAATTTAGGTCAGAGAATGGGAGGCTGAGGCAGGAGGATCACAAGTTCAGCCAGCCTGGACAATGGAGGGAGACCCTGTTTCAAAATAAAATAAATAAATAAAAAGGGCTGGGGATGTGGTTCAGTGGGTAGAGTGCTTGCCCCAGTGTCAATCACCAGTACCAAAAAAGAAAAAAGAAAAAAAAAGGAGAGGGGAATTCTCACAGAGATTTAAAGGAGGTGAAGGAGGGGGTCATATGAGAATCTGGGAAAAAAGATTCCAGGCAGGTGGAATAGCACAGTCAAAGGCCTGAGTCAGGAGAGTGCACAAGTGTGTCTGAAGCAACAAGAAGGCCAGTAGGGGTGGAGAGAGATCAGGGAAGGAGTGGAAGGGCAGGTCTCAGAACTTTGGCTACTATATGGACTGTGACATATACTAGTTTGATTCCAGAGACAGCTATGGAGGGAACCTGAGCAAAGGAGGGACCCAACACAACAGGTCTGAACGGGCCGCTCCAGGGGACATGGGGGCTTGAGAGCAGGGACAGGGCAGCCAGATGGAGAGATGCTAGGGATGCAGATAGGCAGGTGGGTGCAAGGTGGTGGGTAGGGGGAAGATTCTGAAGGTGAGCCAGTAGGACTTGAGAAGGGCTCCCAGGGTCCTATGAGGACTTGAGCCGGACTAGTTCTGATCTGGGTCAGAGGCGGCATGGGAAGGACTCAGAGAGCGGAGGATCACCTAGGGTCCCAGCTGGGCCAGCAATGCAGCCAGCCTCAGGACCCCCCGGGAGGACTGCTGTGGTCTCTGTTCTGATGGGGCATCAAGGGAGTTGGAAATGCAGGATGTCCCAAGGCTGTGGTAAGGGCTTCCTCTGGGCATGAGAGGCCCCTCAGAGCTCTCTAGGTGGGGGCAGGTGGGGTCCTGAGTATCAACGGGGTCAGGGTCTTAAGGCATGAGGATGAGAGGACCTGGCATGGAGCTACCTTAAATTCTGATCTCTCACTGACCTTAGGCTGGGCTTTGAGCTTCATTCCTCCCAGGATCAACCACAGGACAGATGTGAGGCCAGTGTGGGATATAGGCAATCTGAGAGGGGAGTGGAAAGAGGAAGGGGTGAGATTCTGTCTGCCACCTGACTATGCAAATGGACTCTGACTCATTACACACCATCTGCCCTCCCCAAGCTGGGGGTAAGGAGGGGAGCTACTAGGCTGTAGTGAAATTCTCACTTCCTCTCCTTTCCGTACCCTAAGTGTGAGAAGCACCCTCATCTGCAGTTACTTCCCAGTCAGCCGGCCAGACCCTCTGGAGAAGCTCTCACTCTCCAACATGGTAGGACAACAGTTCTTAGGTCTGGGGGAGGTAGATGGGCTGAGAAGGGGTGAGGAGGGAGGTGTGCTTGTCAGTTGCAGGCAATAGTAAAAGGGACTGTTAGCTCATGGCCCTGGGGACACTCACTGCACCCTGAAAACATCAAAGCAAAAGGTCTTCTYTATGGGGTGGATGAAGAAGCTGATGTCTGGAACCTCAGTCCGTGGTGGGATTGGGGCTGTGTGACACCCAAGGAAGGGCATCAAGCTGATGCCTTGCTTCCTACAGCTCCCTCTGATTTGTTCTGGCCCATAACCCCTAATGGTTGAGGCCAGTGTGGGAGGCAGGCAGAGGGTGGGGGAGCTGGGCTGCTCACCTTGCCAGGGGCCTGTGTGGAAGACAAACTGAGCCAGACAGGGTGTTGAGGGAGAGCTTGGGAGAAGGCTGATGGAGAGGGGATTTCAGGGTGGCTGGAGGGAAGAAAGTGGCTGCCACTTTGTTCAGGAGGAAAGAGCAATGGTTCCCAAAGGGAGGAAGGACAAATGGGTCTTTTGACCACCTCTCCTGACCCTCATGTCTGGCTAGGCTCAGTCATGTAGGAAAGTTCCAAATCTTGGGAATCTAGATTTCAGGCTCAGTCCTGGTTCTAAGTCCACATTCTGAGTCAAAGGCTGAGTTTGAAATCAAATGAAGGTTCCCTATGAGCCTTAGAGGGTGAGAAGGGGGTTCAACAGCCAGGGAGGAGCCTCACTGGCAAGGCTTGGAGAGAGGGGAGTTGGAAGTTCTGCTCCAAGACCTTATGAAGTGGAATGGGTGGAGGTGGAGCTAGGGCTGGACACTTATGTAGCCCCTGGTCCCCCACAGGGTCCCTGCCCCAGGGCCCTGCACCCTCTGTCTCTCTTGGTGCAGGCTGCAATGCTGGCTGTGGCCTTGGCCCTGGGTGCTCTGCCTGCCTTCCTGCCCTGCGAGTTCCAGCAGGGTAGTCTGGTGGACTGCAACTGGCTGTTCCTGAAGTCCGTGCCCCACTTCTCTGCAGCAGCACCCCGTGGTAATGTCACCAGCCTTTCCTTGATCTCCAACCGCATTCACCACCTCCATAACTTTGACTTTGTCCACCTGCCTAACCTGCGGCGTCTCAACCTCAAGTGGAATTGCCCCCCGATCAGCTTCAGCCCCATGCACTTTCCCTGCCACATGACCATCGAGCCCCAAACCTTCCTGCATGCGACCAAACTGGAAGACCTGAACCTGAGCTACAACAGCATCACCACTGTGCCCGCCCTGCCCAAATCCCTAGTAAACCTGACCCTGAGCCACACCAACATTCTGGCACTAGACCATACTAGCTTTGCTGGCCTGCATGCCCTGCGCTTTCTATACATGGATGGCAACTGCTACTACAGTAACCCATGCAGCGGAGCAGTGGAGGTGGCTCCAGATGCATTTCTTAGCCTGCGCAAACTCACCCACCTGTCGCTTAAGTATGACAATCTCACAGCAGTCCCCCRCAACCTGCCTCCCAGTCTGGAGTACCTGTTTCTATCCTACAACCACATTGTCAAACTGACAAGTGAGGACCTGGACAATCTGACTGCCCTTAGAGTGCTTGATGTAGGCGGGAACTGCCGTCGCTGTGACCATGCCCGCAACCCCTGTGTGGAGTGCCCTAACGTCTCTCTCCAACTGGATCCTGACACCTTCAGCAAACTAAGTCATCTTGAAGGCTTGGTGTTGAAGGACAGTTCTCTCTATACACTTGATAGCTCATTGTTCCAAGGTCTCAGAAACCTCACTGTGTTAGACCTGAGTGAAAACTTTCTCTACGAATGCATCACCAATACCTCGGCCTTCCGGAACCTGACACAGTTGAGCAAGCTCAACCTGTCCTTCAATTACCGCAAGAGGGTGTCCTTTGCCCACCTGCATCTGGAAGACTCCTTTAAGAACCTGATCTCACTGCAGGAGCTGAACATGAACGGCATCTTCTTCCGATCACTCAATGAGAACACGCTTAAGCCGCTGACCCATCTGCCCCTTCTCCACACACTGCATCTACAAACGAACTTCATCAACCAGGCCCAGCTCAGCATCTTCGGGGCCTTCCCTGGCCTGCACTTTGTCGATCTTTCAAACAACCGCATTAGTGGAGCTTCAAAGCTGACAATCACCACTGGGGAGGCAAATGATTGGAAGCAAGTCCAAATGTGGTCTAGGGATCTYGCTCCAGCCCCACTGGACAGCTCCAGCTCTGAAGATTTCATGCCTAGTTGCAGGTCCCTCAAATTCATTTTGGACCTGTCTAGGAACGACCTGTTGACAATCCAGCCAGAGATGTTTTCCAACCTCTCACACCTCCAGTGCCTCAGCCTGAGCCACAATAACATTGACCAGGCAGTCAATGGCTCAGAGTTCCGGCTGCTGACTAGTCTTCAGGTGCTGGATCTTTCCCATAACAAAGTGGACCTGTACCATGGGCGCTCGTTCACAGAGCTGCCGAACCTGAAGGCTCTGGATCTCAGCTACAATAGCCAGGCCTTCAGCATGCAGGGTGTAGGCCACAACCTTAGCTTTGTGGCCCAGCTGCACACCCTGCAATTCCTCAGCCTGGCACACAATAACATCCACAGTCGTGTGTCACAGAAGCTCAGCAGCACCTCACTGCAGGCCCTGGACTTCAGTGGCAATGCTGTGAGCCATATGTGGGGTGAGGGAGACCTCTATCTCCACTTCTTCCAAGGTCTGAGAGGCTTGCTTCGGCTGGACCTGTCCCAGAATCTCCTGCATACCCTCTTGCCCCGCTACCTGGACAACCTCCCCAAGACTCTGCAGCTGCTGCGTCTCAGTCACAATTATCTGGCCTTCTTCAACTGGAGCTGCCTGGCCCTCCTGCCCAATCTGAAAGCCCTGGACCTGGCAGGAAACCAGCTGAAGGCCCTGAGCAATGGCAGCCTGCCCAATGGAACACAGCTCCAGAGGCTAGACCTCAGCAGCAACAGGATAAGCTCTGTGGACCCAGGCTTCTTTGCCCTGGCAGTGGAGCTGAAAGAGGTCAACCTCAGCCACAATGCCCTCAAGACGATTGAGTCTTCCTGGTTTGGGCCACTGACCTATTCCCTGAAAACATTCGATGTGAGTGCCAACCCTTTGCACTGCGCCTGTGGGGCGGCCTTCGTGGACTTCCTGCTGGAGGTACAGAACGCTGTGCCAGGTCTGCCCAACCTTGTGAAGTGTGGCAGCCCGGGACAGCTGCAGGGAAAGAGCATCTTCGCGCAGGACCTGCGCCTCTGTTTGGATGAGAGGCTCTCCTGGACTTGCTTCGGCTTCTCGCTGCTGGCTGTGGCTCTGGGTCTGACTGTGCCTGTGCTACAGCACCTCTGTGGCTGGGACCTCTGGTACTGCTTCCACCTGGGCCTGGCCTGGCTTCCCCTGCGGCGCGGCACCCGCGCCCTGCCCTACGATGCCTTCGTGGTCTTCGACAAGGCGCAGAGCGCGGTGGCTGACTGGGTGTACCATGAGCTGCGGGTGAGGCTAGAGGAGCGTCGCGGACGCCGCGCGCTCCGTCTTTGCCTGGAGGAGCGGGATTGGCTGCCGGGCAAATCACTCTTCGAGAACCTGTGGGCCTCGGTCTATGGCAGCCGAAAGACTCTCTTTGTGCTGGACCACACGGATCGGGTCAGTGGCCTCTTGCGCACCAGCTTCCTGCTAGCCCAGCAGCGCCTGCTGGAGGACCGCAAGGATGTCGTGGTGTTGGTGATCCTGCGCCCGGACGCCCGCCGCTCCCGCTACGTGCGGCTGCGCCAGCGCCTCTGCCGCCAGAGCGTCCTCTTTTGGCCCCACCAGCCCAGTGGTCAGGGCAGCTTCTGGGCTCAGTTGAGCACGGCTCTGACCAGGGACAACCGCCATTTCTATAACCGGAATTTCTGCCAGGGACCCACTGCCGAATAGCGTGGAGCTTCAGTGGGGTGGGGCCTCACCTCTAGACCTCRCTGCCCGGGAAGCCCAAGCCGTCTCTCTGGGCACCTCCACTGCTTTGCTTCCCACCCGCACGCGAGACCCAGGGCAGGCAATCAATATGCTACCAAGCAGAGTGATGTAGCCCGTATCTGTAATCCCAGCTCCGCGGAGGGTAGAGGCAGGAGGATTGCAAGTTGAGGCCAACCTGAGCAGCATAGCGAGATCTTGTCTCAAAAAAAAAAAAAAAAAAAAAAAGCAAATAAATAATAATTTTAAAAAGAAACGGGGGTGTGTGTGTAGTTCACCCCCGGTAGAGCACCCCCGGGTTCAATCACCAGTACTGCAAAAATCAACCAATTAATAATAAATAGTATAAATAAATGAATGCAACAAATAAATTAAAAAATAAAATGCATGCATATTACTAAACAGCTAACCCTGAGCTTCCCAGAGGTGTGGGTGGGAGAAAAGAAAGGAAAATTCTGTAGGACTCTATAAAGTGAATAGGGGAAAAGAGGCAGTTTGGAGAAAAGAGAAAAACGGGGGCCCATAGGACTAAGGTTGGCTGCTAAGGGCCATTTTGTTCAGGGGCGTCTTTTTAGGGGAGTCTGAAGATATTCGGCGAATGTGGTCTTGGACCTTCACGGAGAGCAAGGGAAGGATTTCTGCCCTTTTCAACCCTTCTCTCAATGCCCTGCCTGACCCATTCCAGGCAGAGCCAGGCAGCTTCTGCTAGGCTTGGGTCAGCACCCGTCTTGGGTATTAATCTCGGGTATTTGCCTGTCTTCCCTACTAGACTGAAAATGGTTTGAGGGCAAAGAACCTGCAAGTCTGGTATATTTCTGCCTCTCAGCAAAGTCCTGCTGAGAGGCCAGCTCAGGAGATGTTCATTCCAAAGTTTTTAGTAAATAATGGATTTATGGCCAGTTCAGCTGGTGATTGCGCCATCTGGTGGCCATGCCTATGCTGGCTTCAAAGACATAACAGCAAAATTTTTGTGACTTGGGTACAGGTGCTCAGGCCTTGGTGTTCCCTGCTATTTACTCAAATCAAACACAGAGGAGGATATTTTATTTATGGGTTGGGAGCCTTGTGTGGGCTCTGACGTGTCCTACTTCCTGAGCCTTCCTGGGGCAGGGAGAAAATAAAAGCAGTCATTTCCCCCAGCCAGGGTGGAGTCTTGGGGAAGTCCCTTACTGAGTAGTTCCCAGATTCTTCTGGGCACAGGCAGAAGCAGGAGCGGGAGAGGAAGCTAGGCCTTGTTTAGGATACCATATTTTACTTATAGGAAGCACAACTTGGACAGCAAATCTCTCTGGAAGTTCCAGGTAGACCTTAATCTCCCCTTACCCCTGCTTGTGCTCTCACACAGACTTGGTGTTCTGGAGGCTAGGACCATTTTAGAGATGAAGCATGGGTGTTGTGGTAGGATCTTGGCTTGACTCAAGTAAGTTTTGGGGTCTGAGGTACTTGGCTCTGTGCTATCTATGGGATCAGAAAGGGCAGAGTTCCACTGTTTCAGATCCCACAGGAGGCAGTCTGAGCTGGGCCACTGTGGGCTGTGTAGAAGGTGGCTCCCACTGCACTGTCGGGAAGGGTACTCAGGGATGGCTCCAGGTCCTCTCTTCTGGCCATCCTCACCCACTGACATTGACATTGATTCTGCCAGACCAGGAAAGAGAAAATTCAGTTCAGATTTCAAGGGGCTAAATCCCAGCTCTGGCATTTGGGTAATCTTGGGCAGGCAAACTTCCCTTTGGAGTCTCAGCTTGTTCATTTATCAAGGGGGTTGTCCAGGGCTATTCTGAAAGCTATTGTAAGAATGAATGGTAATGTGTGTAAGGTCAGGCACGGTGACCAAAAGGAGGCAGACTAAAAGCTGCTGAACAAGGCTTTATTGAGATTCACTCCCGGGCAAGATCCTCCAGTGGAACAGAGCRGGTCCAGGAGAATCCACTCGGGCTCAAACGGATTGGAATTTTATTGGGCTTAGGGCAGGAAGGGAGGGCTTGGGACAGGAAAGGGAGGTTTTTAGAGTCCCTTGTTCTCCTGGGGTTGGTCAGGAGACCCTGATGATTGACAGATGGTTATCAATGCTTGTCTGACAGTGCCTGATGTGTTGTAATTTTGCCCCCGMGCAGGTTGCCTTAGCCACCTCAAACTAACCTAACAATGAATATAAAGGTTTGAAAAACCTAGCAGGGCCTTAGTTGTCATTATTAAGTATTGAGATTTTTACTCAGGACCATGAGATGATATGGCTTCAAAGTTTCTCTCTCTACCCTGAGAATGATCCTCCTGGGCCAGGGATGGCTCCCAGAGCACCATGTTCAGAGGCAGATGTGACTGAATCAGAAGCACATGATGCTGGGGACCAAAGCTCTCCTTGATAGTCTGCAGACCTTGGGTGGTTTCCTTGTTGGGGAGTAAGGAGCACCAGAAAATGTCATGATGGGGAAAGGCTACTAAGATTTTAATACACAACTCACCCTGCACTCCCTTGGCACTTTACTTGGTGTCCTAGACTTCTAAATACTCTTGGCAAACTTCCCACTGTGTTGTAGTTTTATACTAGACTTGCTTATAAAAGCCAAACATCTCATTTTTATTTTTTTTAAGAGAGAGAGAGAGAATTTTTTTTAATATTTATTTTTTAGTTATTGGCGGACACAACATCTTTGTTTTTATGTGGTGTTGAGGATCGAACCCAGGCCGCACGCATGCCAGGTGAGCAYGCTACCACTTGAGCCACATCCCCAGCCAAAACATCTCATTTTTAAATCGTTCTACTTCCTGTAGATCCTTCCGTCTTTTTCTCATAACCCCAAGAAGGAGGGAGAGGAAAGTGTACCTCCGGGCCTTCTTCTTCTTCTTTTTTTAAAAATATTTTTTAGTTCTATATGGACACAGTATCTTTATTTTTTATGTGGTGTTGAGGATTGAATCCAATGCCTCACACATGTGAGGCCAGTGCTTTGCCACTGAGCTACAGCCCCAGCCCCAGCACCACTCCAAGCCTTTTTGACTCTCCTTGTTCTTATGGAGGAAGAGTGGGTCCTAAGTGTTCAGGCCCCCATTAGAGGCAAGCAATCCTACTTGAAGGAAAGGAGGTGGAGYGCTGTCCAGGCGTGGGAATGTGAGAGACAATGGAGAGCCCTGAAAGCCTATTTGAAGGAGCAGAGCTGGGAAAGTGAGTTGTTACCAGAGCAGGAAGGAACCATATTGTGATTCCGAAGTGACRGACGTGACTTCCATCATACCCAGAGGCCTGCTGAGACTAACAGTTTTATCTGATGGGACCATAACTCAGTGGAGCCCTCCCGTGTGCCTCAACAAGCCCAGGCCAAGTACCAGCACAACTCTTCCCCAGGGGAGAAAGCACAGCTGCCTTTCTAGAGCTAAGAGGGGGAGTCAAGCCCAAAGATGCTCCTTACCTCCAGCAGGTTGGTTCTTCTTCAGCACACTTGTTCTTTTTAGTAGACTAAGATGTTGTCACTGGGGTGCCCTTTCATTCATTCAACATTTTTGCTTATCATCAACTGTGTATCAGATTCTATGCTGGATTCAGAGGGTACAGAAGTGAGAAGAAAGAGCACCTTTCTTCATAGGGATAATATTACAACAGGGGGGAAAAATCACTGTGTGGCGACTGTTTAAGAGCAGCAAGGCTAAAGGCCCAGCAATGGGAGGAATTAAAAAAGGGTGTACCCAACTGGGCACAGTGGCACGTGTCTGTAATTCCAGCAACTCAGGAGACTGAAGCCCAAAGATCAGAAGTTCAAGGCCAGCCTCAGCTATTTGGTGAGGCCCTAAGCTGTTAGCATAATTGCAGCCATCTTCCTTTTCCCCACCCCCACTTTATGAATACTGTTCTTATTCCCAAGAAATAGAAAGTAGAGAGATAAAACCTACTGGCCTGGAGACGTGCTGATCTCTCCCTGTTCCCTCATTGAGAGATAGGAGACAACTTACCGCCCTGAGATAGGGACGTACTGGTTTGCCTGTTCTCTCCTTGAGAAGATACAGGGACATGCCGGTTTCCCTGTTCCCCCTTTGAGAGATAGGAAAACTGCCTGTCTCTGTTCCCAAGAAACAAACTTGGCTTCCATAAGATCAGGAGATGCTTACTATGTCAGTCAAGACTAAACCTGCCCCTCACCTGCAGCCATGATTCTAGCCTATAAAAGGTACATTCAAGGGGAGTTGCTGCTGCTGTCCCTCTCTTTTTGCAGAGCAGCCTTGTCAGGCTCCTGACAATAAACCCGCCTCTTATCCCAGGTGTGTGTGTGTGTGATCAGTCCTGCACCACTTTTCTTTCATAAGCAACTAGCAAGATTGTCTCAAAATAAAAAATAAAAAGGGCTGAGGATATAGCTCAGTGGTAAAGTGCCCCTGGGTTCAATCCCCAGTAACTAAAAAAAAAAAAAAAAAAAAAAAAAAAAARCAAGGATGAGTGAGTGAGCTGGGTGCAGGAGCATGCACCWATAATCTCAGCAACTCAAAGGGCTGAGGCAGGAGAATCACAAGTTCAAAGCTAGCCACAGCAATTTGGTGAGGCCCTAAGAAACTTAGTGAGACTTTGTCTCAAAATAAAAAATACAAAGTATTGGAAATGTAGCTCAGTGGTAGAGCACCCCTGGGCTCAATTCCAAATACCTAAATAAATAGACAGTTAGCTCATGTATCTGGGGAGGTCTCACCCTTATCCCGAGTGAAGAGAGGTGGTCACACCATGTGTTATGGTTTAGATAGTAGGTGTTCCTCTAAAGCTCATGTGTGAAACAATGCAAGAAGGCTTAGACRTGAAATAACTGGGTTATTTCAACCCAATTAGTGACTTAATCCCTTGATAAGGATTAACTGAGTGGTTACTGAAGGAAGGCAGGGTGCAGTTGGAGGAGGTGGGTCATTGGAGGGCCTGCCTTTGGGGTATTTTTTTTTTTTTTTTAGTTGTAGATGGATACAATATTTGTATTTTATTTATTTACTTTTATGTGGTGCCTCAC